ATATTTAAAAGTTTTATATTAAGTATTCGTCCGAGCTTCGGAAAGGTTCTAATAAAAATAAACTTTATGCTACGTATTGCTGACGCATAAGTTATATCTTTGCCACAAATATAAAACTTGTTTGTTGGATCTCTTATAGAATCGATCTTCATTCCGTAAATACATAAGGCAATGACATCGTTCGTATATCTATCGAAGATATCTTTCATATTAATGTCACTTTTATAGGCTGGTAATGTTGACATCAATTCAGCAAAATCCGCAGCATGTTTCGACATAAAAGTAAACATAATTTTCATCTTACTAGAGGTAAAGAACGGAGATAGTAATTTTCTTACGTGCCGCCACTTTGTGTTTTGCAGACCAAACAGACTCTGTGAAAGCACATAGTCATTAGCATCAATGAAAGTGGGATTATTGATAAACGTATCGAAATTCTTGACAACATCCTTGATCACTTCCAGATCACGGAGCATAAGAACTGGCTTCATTGTAGCATAAAGTCCAATGTATTTTGCGTCTCGATTTAAATTGTATATTTTTCTGGTGAAATCGACAAATGACATTCGGCGAAATATAATTGGTGCCATGGCACCTAATATTGGAATAGATGGTATGTGAATAATACCATGTCTTTTAAAAAAGTTAAACTTTCTAAACAGATAATAAATAACGAGAATGCTAATCATGATTGATAACACTGACATCGACCAATATTCCATGATAAATATGACTCGAAAACTTTATTAGAATTAGAATGATACTTATTAAAGTTCAACAAAACTATTCGCGAAGAGATTGATAAAATATATAGCAGACTAGCAATGTTATTGATATCAACAATTAAAAGCGACTGTCTGCACATTTCCAGCACCTGTTTTATATCTTTACATTTTTTTTTAAATCCACGTTTAGTTATTAAGTACATTAATTATACAACTAAACGTGGATTTTTCTAATCCCAAGCTCTGTATATGTGGTATTGCAGATTAATGGAGAACCTACGAGATAAGAGAGGGAAAAAATATGTCTAGAAGAAGGGATGAGGAAAGAAGTAATTATTATGTGCGGAGCACAGAAGGTCAAATTCAAGTCTGAGTCAATATTTCTGAGCCGCTTGCAGCATTTTTTTCTTTCTTTATTAGCATAAAGAGAGCGTAGATGGATACATACGCATGCGTAAGTATACACGGATATGGACCCATTACATATATACATATTTGCTTACGCCCCCTTCATGCTAATAATTGTAGTAGCAAGCGGCCCGGAATTTGCACTGGTCTAAGTCTAAAAGTGGGCTCGAAACACGGTGTAGGAAAACTCATAGAAAATCTGACAAATGTAATTTTAGTATCACGCCTTGGGAAAAGTTGGAAGTATTGTATGTCACATGATCATAGGTCACAGATATATATATATATATTGGGTATGGGAAAAAGTTCGTGGCGATTTTTTAATAAAATTAAAGTTTTTCTTAGAGTATTGAAATCAATTTATTTAAACCAAATATGCTCCATTATTTTCTATAATATTTTGCCATTTTTGGGGCAGAGCCATAATTCCATCGCGATAGAATTTCTGTGGTTTCTGATTGAAAAACTGCTTCAAGTGATTTTCACAGGCCTCTTTTGAAGCTAGTTTTACATCATTAAGAGAGTTCTGTAGAGACCTAAACAAATGATAGTCTGAGGGTGCTATGTCAGGACTATAGGTGGATGCATTAAAACTTCCCGGCCAAGCTCTTGCAATTTTTGCCGAGTTATCAAAGATGTGTGTGATCGAGCGTTGTCGTGATGGAAGACGACACTTCTCTTATTGATTAATTCTGGCCGTTTCCTCTCAATTGCTTGTTGTAATCTCTGCAGTTGTTCACAGTAGAGTTCGGAATTAATTGTTTGATTGGACGATAATAGCTCATAATGAACGATTCCCTTCCAGTCCCACACATCACCTTCTTCCTCGTCAATCCAGGTTTTGCGATTGCTTGTGCCTTCTCTCCTTTCTTTATCCACGATTTTTTTCTAGTTGGATTGTCGTAAGTGATCCATTTTTCATCACCAGTTATCATTCTCTTCAGAAATGGCTCAATTTCATTCCGTTTCAGTAGCGTATCACAAATGTTAATTCGGTTCATCATGTTCCTAACACTCAACTCGTGAGAAACTCAAACATCGAGCTTCTTTTTATATCTAGCTTTATGTAAATGATTTAAAATTGTTTTGTGGTCATGCTTAGTTCCCTGGCAATCTCCACAGCTTGCTCACATGCTTATCACGCTCGACTTTTACCATTTCATCGGACTTTTCAGTCGACCGGAGCGAGGTTCATCTTTCACATCGAAATATATATATCTTATAATAACTTTTTTATTAATATCAATCATTAATAAAATTTTATTATTGTATAATGGCAATCTCTACAATCATTAGATTTCGCCACGTTATCCTGATATAACCCTTTGATTACAAATATATAAAGAAAAGATGCTTCAGAATTACGTACTAAAAAGTCTTATCGTAGATGTGTTTACTTTATACTCTTATACATGCTGTTTATAGAATTTGTTCTTCTTTCAACTATGTTTTGCATTTTTATATTATATACTCAAATAATTTAAATAAAGAAAATTAGGAATCATTGTGTGAAAAATATGATCTTTATCCATTATTTCAATACAAAAAAGATTTAATTTTTTTATGCTGCTAGCAGAGCATTCATTCTTAAATAAGCAATCTCAGATATCATTATTCTGTTTGTGTTGTTTGCAGTTTTTGCATTTAACATCTTCGCTTTCTCTTTCCTCAACATCTGGTATCTATTTATCTCACTTTGAGTGCAAACATTTTTGGATATTTTAAACAACGCAAATAGACCTAATGTGTTTTTTTAGATGCCCAATTTTATTCGAAATATTATTTACAGATTTAAGTTGTTAAGCTTTATAATTATATTAAAAGTCTATAATAGAATATAAATTGCTTGTTATGATTAAATAATAATTTAATAACATGAAATGATATTTTTATAATAATATTTACGAATAATATCTACAAATACTATCTATAATAATTATTAGTATGTCAATACGAATTTTTTTTTGTAGATATATAAAAATTTGATAACAAATAGCTAATTTAATTATGATTAATATATAAAAAGCAATAGATTATGAGTGAATATTGTAAATGTAAAAATATCAAAAAGTAAACTACTGCAAAAATATAATTATTGCGTTTTGATTTTTTAATACATTACCATATAAATAAAAATTAAATAAAATAAAAACGATTAAATAAAAAAAAACATTTTATCTATCATTATTCAATAACTTCATTTTTTTTGTAATAGATAAAGAATCTACTAATGTGATATATGTACATTATCTAATATTTTCAGTTTTGCACAATTTATTAAAGAGACGTATATGAGTCGAAAAGTCATACAAAAATTGACAAACTGTAATTATATAATTGGAAAAATTGTAGATTACATGTTTAATATAAATTATGCAAATCAGAAACAATGTCTTTAGTGTCAAATAATTCATTTATTATGACATATCATTGAAAAATCTCTCAAGAATAAAATAACGTTAAGAAATTTAATTTTTCATGAATTACATGGATTCACAACAGAAATAATGCGAATCAATAATTTGCGAAATTTTTCTTAAACAATGAGTTTATAAGTTAAATACAGACTTTATAAAATATGCACTTACATCACGTCTTAAATAAATATTTCATGTATGTATTATACGATATACGAGAGATTCTCCTAATTAAACTAAGTAAATCTGGTTCTTTTTAAATTGATTTGAATTCTATGCAAAATTTGATATATGTAATAAATATATTCATATTCTCTTATTTTAAATAATATTCAAATTTGTTATTCTTCGATATTGTTGTTTAATACAAAGTTAAATTCAAATGTTGTAACAAAAATTAAGTATGTCATTTAATAATGTCAGATTTAAATGTAAATATTTCTAAAGATAAAAAATGTATAGCTGGCACAAAAATTGTTTACAAAATATATATTATATGTAATACAAATTGCAATTATTATGTGTATACATTTTATTTTACTTCAATAAAAGTATTGTACAATACATACTACTTTGCACTATAATAACATGAGAAATGTTGAATAATAACATAAATTGCATAATAAATAAGAA